ACCCCATAACAAAGAAACAGAATTTCCGGAGGATGAGGCCCAGAAATCAGGGTTTTTAAGAAGATTCCCAGGTGATTCTAATGTGCAGCCAAGGTTGAGAACCACTGCCTTAGAGATTTCGCTGTAGTGGGAGGGGACAGCCAATGACAGATGGCCCTAATTATAAGTTAATTCTAGATTGTCAGAAGGTGGTGGGAAAAGACAATAGAGGGCAGAGCAGGGAGGGCTGGGACAGTGGGGTCATGTGAGGGATTGCGATTTAAAACACGAGCTCAGGGAGGTCCTCCTGAGTGACAGGCGCTCAAGCAGAGACTTGAAGGAGGGGGAGCGTGCAGATACCTGCGGGCGGACCTCAGTGGAGGCCGGAGCCCAGAGCCTGCCTGGAGAGCTGGAGGGACCAGAGGAGGCTGGGGTGGGGCTGGGAGGCAGGTGGCCAAGTCAGGAAGGACCGGGCAGGGTTTGAGCACAGGAGCGACATGACCTGTGACACTGAAAGGGATCCCTTTGTCTGTAAGCACGAGGGTGGAGGCCGGGAGGCCAGGGAGGAGGCGCTGCAGTAAGCCGGGTTCAAAGCCAGCTCTGCCACTGACCGGCTGGACACAGCACCCCGCCCCCTCATCCCGCCCTTCGATATTGGCCAAACCCAACAAGGAGCCAGAGGCCAAGGGCCCCTGGGTGACAGACCGTGGGGATCAGCCTCCTGAGCTCAGCAGGGTGGAGGAGGTGGGGCGGGAGCGCTGCAGGGCAGGTGCTGCTGGCGGGTCGCCCTCCTCACTCCGCCACATGTGTCCCTTTAATTTGGCCAAAGGCAGTAGGAGAGCTGCAGCACGTAAAGGTCACTGGAGTGTCCCCTCAGTGGGCCCGCACCCCAGGGCCCTTCCTCAGCTCCAGGATGGCCTCCGTGCAGCTGGAGGCTCTGAAGACGGCACAGGGGCGGTCCGGGGCGGCGGTTCCCTTGCTTTGTGCTGGGCCCCTTGGTCCTGTTCGGGCTGGTTTCCGACCTTCCCGGTGGCCCGTGGCCCTCTTGCCTGTTGGGCTGCGGCTGCTCAGAGCGCTCCTGTGGCTCCCCAGGGAGTGTTCAGGTCCGGGGTCGGCCCACCTGCTTCTCCGACTACCTCAGCACCTCCACCTGTGAGTGGAGGATGGATGGCCCCACCAACTGCAGCACCGAGCTCCGCCTCACCTACCAGCTGGATTTTCTGAACTCTGAGTAAGCCTGTGCCCAGGGAGCTGGGGAGGGAGGGGGGGACCAACGGGAGGCCGGGAGGTTGGCCTGAGTTTGCCTGGTCCCAGTGGAGTACTGAGTGCCGAATGCAGTTCCCTGCGGTTCCTACTGGGCCCGGGGTTGGAGCTGGGGCGCCGGGGCGCCGTGTGTGATACAGTGGGTGTGTCATGACACTCCGAGCACACGCACCCAGGCCCCGCGGCGCAGCATGTGGGTGCACGACAGGTGGTGTTCCACGAGGCGCTAAGGTGGGCGCACTGTACTCTGTGTGCGGTACATCGGCTTAGACCGGAGATGGAACCCTGGGCCACACTGGGCCACCCCCTGTTTTGTAAGTTGGCACATGGCCACGCCTATTCATTCACGTGTTACCTGTGGCTGCTTCTGTGCTTGATCGGCAGCATGTGTAGTGGGGACAGAAATTGTCTGGCTCTCAGAGTCTGGCCTTTTACAGAAAAACGTTTTCTGGGCAGCACGTTAGGATGACGTGTGGTGGCAGGGCGTGTGCCGCAGTGCCCTGCACGGGAGAGGCTGAGCCCCGAGGTATGCTAGCACATGCACGTGCTGTTACAGATTCTCCAATGCTGCTGTCTTCCCTTTCATTCGTCTTCAGGGACGAGCTGAGCCCTGGGACTGAGGGGTGTGGTGTGGTGAGGGGCTGTGGCAGCAGGGAAGGCCGTCCTAGCCCACTCTGGCCGCTCTGCTTCCCAGTCCCCTGACCTGGTCCTTGAGGCAGGTGACCGGGAACCAAAAGAGCATGTGGTTCTTTGAGGCATGTAGGGGGACACCCATATGTGCACGACCAGCCTAACGCAGCCCGTGTCCGCAGAAACCACACGTGTGTCCCTGTGAATGGAGAGAGCGCCGTGTGCCGGTGCGACATGCTGGTGGACAGCATAGTCAGTGGGGACACCTACCAGCTGGACCTGTGGGCTGGGGAGCAGTGGCTGTGGAGTGGCTCCTTCAGGCCCAGCGAGCATGGTGAGTGGGGCGGGGCGGGGCGGGTGCTCTAAGCCCAGCTCTGCGTGGGCCAGGCAGGCTCCAACTCGGGGAGGGGCCCAAGCAGCCTTTCCTTAAACTCGATGGGGTTCTTGCCCTGTCTGGGCCTCAGTCCTCCCCTCTTTGAAATGGGGTTGGGCTCAGACATCTCAACCCCCTAAATGTGAGTGCCCTGACTGGGTGTTGAGCAGGCTGCCTGGTGGAAGGTGTGCTTGCTGCAGACCGGAAACTGAGCTGGGGACCGTCCTCCACCCTCCCTCGACTGCTCAGCTGCCGCTGCTTCACACAGTCCGGACCAAGCATGTCAAACTCGCAGCCGCGGGCAGCATGCCTCGTTTATTTGGCCCATGTTAGCCTTTGAGTTTGACATGTTTGGTCTACATGGAAGGCTGACTTTATACAGCTGCCTGGGGCCCCTGCAGGCATTCCCCAGGAGCTGGCCGAGGGCAGTGATGGGAGTTTAAAACACCATTTATTGCTGTGTGACCTTGGGCAAGTCACATTACCTCTCTGAGCCTCCATTTCCAAAAGAGAGTTCCTATCCCCATTTTGCAATTGAATAAACTAGTAGTGAGAAGGCAAGTAACCTGCCTCGGACAGGCGGTCTCTCGCAGCCTCCACCACTCCATCAGCAGTTCCTGCGGGGCCTGCTCACCTGCTGGTGGTAAATTGGCCCATGAACAAACCCGTGAGTTAAAATAATTCTCACACGTGTATGTTGACTTTAATGCATCTTATATACTTGTGATCTCACTGATATGAATGCTTAAAAAGAGACTAAGTTTAAACACGTGAATCAAAATATAGACAAAGTATGAAGGACGAAAGTGCAAACACTGAAGTTTGGGTTCCGTTTTGGGCTCCAGGTAGAAGTGGAGCGACGCTAGAATGAGTGCTAGGATTGGAAGTGTTATGACTGAATCTGCGCGGTGCCTTACACATGTGTGCGGAGGTGGTGTTGACTGAGAACCTCAATGGCCCGGGTTCAGAGGCCCCACAAGCCCTCACCAGGCCCCGCTTCTCCCCAGTGAAACCCAGGGCCCCCGGAAACCTCACGGTTAACGCCACCGACTCCCACATGTGGCAGCTGACCTGGAGCGACCCGTACCCACCTGAGAGTCTCCTGCACTCTGAACTCTTCTACCTGGTCAACATTTCAAATGAAGACGACCCCACAGAGGTGAGTGGGCACTGTGGGGTTCTGCACCAGTTCCTGGGACTCGGGGAGCGGAGACCCCGCCCCAGGGTGGGAGACAGAGAGGAGCCCGGCTGACAGCAGCCCCCGGACCTAGAGGCCCGGCTTCTGTCCCTCCACCCCTTCCTGGTGCCCAGCGCGCAGAGGGGACGTGATTTGTGGGCCCTGCTCCTCCCGGTAAAGGAGGCTCTGGGCACAGTTGGGTGTCCCAGGGGCCGGGAGGGACACTCTCAGATGACCGAGTCCCACCGCGAGACCCTCACTCAGCATCGTCCCCCTCCCAACGCTGACTGGTCAAGGCCAGCGTGGCCAGGGCTGCAGTCTCGCCTGAGGCTCACAGGGAGGGATGGCTG